ATTCAGCATCAACCCTACCTGTGTACGAGGCACCATCTCTGTTGGGCACACGGGCTCTGGGTTCAAGTCCTGGCTCTGCCACCTACTAACTGTGTGGCCTTGGTCAAGGCACTTCCTCTCTCTGAGCCTCTGTTTCCCCCTCTTCAAAATGGCACAACAGTATCTGCCTAATGGGGTTATGAGAAAATCAAGATCAGGGGCACCTTGAGTGGCTCAGTCGGTTAAGCATCCAACTTTGGCTTAGGTCATGATCTTGGAGTTTGTGAGTTTGACTCCGCATCAGGCTCTCTGCTGTCGGAGCAGAGCCCCTTCAGATCCTCTGTCCCTCTCTCTATCTGCCCCTCCATTGCTCATGCTCATACTCTCTCTCTCTCAAAAATAAATTAAAAAACATTAAAAAAAAGAAGAGGTCAAGATCAATGAGCTAATGGGCATAAAGCATTTCACCCTGGCAAAGAGGAGGCATGTTAACGGGGGCTCCTATATAGTTCCTCTTGTCCAAGCTTCCCCTAATCCGGAGAGAGGCCCTTGAAACACCCCTGGCCCAGCTGAGCAACCCCCGGTGCAGCCTAGCCCCAGGCCCAGCACCAACAGTAGCCAAGGCAACCGGAAGAACGTTAATCTCTGATTTCCCAAATTGACAACGTTATGGGTCACGCTGCTTCCTGCACTCAGAAAGCGGGGGCTGGGCAAGAATGTGGGAGGCCCCAGGGTGGCCCGCAGTCCCCTGCCAACTCTGGGGGACAGGGGGACTTAGCCCACTGTGCAGATGGCAAAACTGAGGCTCAGAGAGGAGAAAGGGCTCCCGGAGCAGAGGATGAGAAAAAGGAGCGCGGAGGTGCCCCAGAGAGCCTCGAAGGCCTTCTCGTGGCCCTCCCGAAGCCCAGCACATGTCACGCTGAGTCACCCCCCCCAATCCTGGACTCAACCTGGGGCAGGCGGTGTCTCATTTCAGATGAGGAGAACCGGGATCCCTGCCAAGTCCTTCAGCTGGGGAGCAGCAGAGGCAGGATCTGAGCCCAGGCCCGGGGCCCCCTCCACACTGACTGCCGGGTCCCAGGACGAAGAGGGCAATCTCCAGCCGGGACCACGTCAGTCTCGTGCCAGCCACAGGGGCTTCACGTTGGTCCCAGCCCCAGCTTGGCCCGAGTTGAGGGCAATGCGCCAAATCTGTTCCCGGCTCATCCGGTCCCTCCAGCGGGCCCCAGGGACACACCTCACCCACGAGGCCCGTCCCGGTTTCAGGGCTGAAAGAGATTTGCCGACTGAAACCAGGCAGGCGGCACCCTGTAGGGCAGGGCAGGCCCGGAACTTGCCTACCTGGTTATCAGAGCCCTGGAGAGAAGGCCCAGGGTGGAGAGGTAGAGGAGGCAGCCAGGGACTCAGTTTCCCTGTGTCGCACAGCTGCCCAAAGTACCACCATCTCCATCGTCCGCCTAGGAGAGCAGGGAAAGCTTATGGTCCAGAGAGGTGGCGACACTCTCCTGGGGTCACACAGCATATGTCAACAGAGCTGGGTCAGCACGTCAGGCCCCCAGTGCCCAACCCAGGGCCCTTCTACCTGGCCACCCTACTATCACTATGAAGAAGTACTAGCAACAGCCAAGTGTTCAGCACCCCTCCACACCCAGCACGGTGCTACACGTCCACACGTGTTATTTCCTGTGCTGTCCCCACTTTACAGAGGAAGACACTGAGATTCAGAGAAGTTAAGTGACTTCTCTGGAAACACATAGCTTGTAAATGACAGGAACCCAGATCAGCCTGAGTCTAACACGGAACCAGAGTTTGGGCAGATCCATCTCACCCCCACCTGCCAGCCTCCGGGAGCTGGGGTTCCACACCGCACTGGCCCTGTGGGTGGCCGCTGTCAGAAAGGCTGACATGGCTCCCACTCAGGACCTGTAATCAGGGGCAAAGTCAGGAAGAAGGGGTAATGACAGGCTCCACTGGCCAGCAGAGGAGGGGGACTGGCAGACCGCCCATGAGAAGAGCCTGAACTAGCAGCCGGAACCCCGCAGAGCCGAAGCCAAGAGGGGGTTAAGTCAGCTGAGTGGCACCCTCACCCCAACAGCCAGTTCTTGTTCAGAAGAGAGACAGCTGCCAGAGAGGGCACGGGACTGATCCAAGGTCACCCCACAAATACCCCCTGAAGAATGGGTTTGCTCAGAGCACCTGTATAGCAGCAACAGGTCCCTGGAACCCCACTTCTGGGCCCGAGAGAATTCCCCCACCAGCCATGCCCCATGGCCCAGCGCAAGGCCATCAGGGTGAAGTGGACTTCCTAGCTGACCAGGGGACGGTCAAGAGGCCAGTACAGCTGAGCCCTGACTGTGCCACAAGTCACTGCCCCCCAGCCATGGGAATGCCCATCCTATGTCTGCCCGGCCTCCAAATTTCTACCCATTTCCACTCCTGACTCCTTCAGATCCTTTGCTTACAACAGCCACAGGGATCTTTGTGTTACAGCTCTCACCCTGAACCTTCTCTGCTCAACAACCTTCCATGGCTCCCACTGCCTTTGGGACAAAGACTAAACTCTTTAGAAGGCCCCCAGGCTCCTGCCTTCTCTTCCTTGCCATGGGGTCTCCAGGTCAGGAACACTCCTTCCCCCCTCCGCTGGGGGGGGGTGCCCATTTCTCAGCCCCCCACTGCACCACTCCCTCCCCCAGGATGCCCCCGGGCCAGCGGGTATCCCCCACTTATTTCCATAGCCCCCCATTGGTCTTGCAGTGGGTGAAGGCCTGTTTCCTGTCGGACTCCCCCGGGCAGTACCCACCGCATCTGGGACAGGGCCTGGCGCATAGTAGGAAGCTCAGAGCAAGAAGCCAGAGGCGCGATCTACAGCCAGGGCCGCCCTGGGGCACAGAGCCACCCTCGTTGAGCAATAAAGCTCCCCACACACACCCCAAGATTCCTCACCACAGAACGGGAGGCTTATGCCCAACCCAAGGGCTGTGGCCAGGCCCCAGAAATGAGAGGATGCGCACAACACCTTCCTTCTTACTCGGGAAGGTGACTGCCACCCACGAGGTTCCCTCCCTGCCGGCCTCAGCTGCCCTGAAGGGACCCTCTGCTGGTCACCCCTTCCCTGGAGCCGGGAACAAGGGTAAATTCTCTCCCCATAAATACAGCAGCCCACAGCATGCCAAGGCCCGATCGTGGCAACTACCTGATGGCATGCCAGCTCTGTGCAAGGGGCTTTATGGAGGAGATCAAAATGGCCCAGGGAGGGAGGGTCTGTCATTACCCCAGTGGACAGAGGAGGGAAGAAAGTGTCAGGCAGTTAAGGAGCCTACTCAGCGTCACACAGCTGGTAAGGCACAACGCTGGCTGCTGATCCCCAGGCTTACTCTGCCGGGCCTTTACTGCATTTGCCACCGGGCCCTGGCAGCAACCCAGGAAGTGGGTACAGGTACCACCCCCACTGAGGAAACAGGAGGCTGTGAGGCCCAGTGACTTGTCCAAAGTCAGCCAGCTGTCAGGTAGAGAAGCCTGAATCCACGCTGGGGGCTTGAACCCAGAGAACCTCCCAGGGATGTGGAGACACAAAGGACAGTCATGCAAAGTGCTTCAGAGAGGCTCTTCCAGGGCTCCGACACCCCAGGAGACGGGAGGTTCGCCCGTCACTGCATTCTCGACACCCGCCACGGGGCCTGGCACACCGTGGCCCGCAGACAGAACACTGAATCAGATCCAGGACCCGCCAGGTTCTGAGCCCCATTTCCCTCCCCGAGGCCCCACCCTGGTAATTTCCTATCCACCCCAGGCCCCCATCTCCACGCTTTCACCTGTGCTGTGCCCCCTTGCAGAAGCCCCTTCCCCGCCTTGTTTCCACAGTTCAAGGTCTTAGCCAAAAAAAGAAAAACACAAAGTCTTAGCCAGACTTCAAGGTCCCACTCAAATATCTCCTGGGATTGCCCATTTGTGCATAATTATAATAATAATCGGGGCCTGAGCGAAGGCCTGTAGCACTCACCCACTGCCAGGCACGGAGGCAGCTCCCATATATGCTAACAAGTATCCTCAACGTTATTTAACCCTCACCCAGATTTACTCTTGAACCCATTTTGTAGATGAGGCTCAGAGAGGTGAAGTGACTTGTCCAACGTCACACAGGTAAGAGGGAAATTGTGACCTGAGGCCAAGCCATCCACTGTCCACTGCTCTATCCCAACACCTAGAATGGTGCTGAAACAGAGAAAGAGCTCAAAAACATTTGTAGTCTCTGTGCCAGGACATTCCCCACTCGCCTGGCAGCTGCCCGGGTCAAAAGGGGCACCTTATTACCTTCTGTATCCCAAGCACCCAGTGTGGCACGGGTTTGGGGACAGAAAAGTGGGTGTCTCATAGAGGCAGGGGTGTTAGGGGGCCAAGCTTGAAGCAAGAAGCAAACCCTGAGCTCAGGACGGCCTCTCTGGGCTTCAGTTTCCTTGTCTGTAAAATGGGCATAACGTGATAGTTTCCCACACACAATCTCACTCGGTGATGAGGGGTCCTCAGGAGATGCTGACTTTTGTTGTCAACAAAGAACTGGGTGAACAATATAAAGATACATGGCTGTCATCTTAACCTTTGGCACCAGTAGAATCCCTGCCCCGGAGTGTCCCCTTATTAATGGACCAGTGACATACGCTTATAACAGGCCACTGGACCTGGGAAGGGCCCTCTAAGATGAAGCTCGAGCTCTGGATTGGACAGATGGGGAAACCGAGGCTGGGGAATAGGAAAGAAAGAAGCAACGTTGTGAGAACAGGGTGAAGAGAAAGCAGCGGGGGGGGGGGGGGGCCCGGCAGGGGGGAGGGGGTGCGGTCAGAATTCAGCACCCAGGAGAGGGAACTGGCTCTGGTCTGAGGGTCTCCGGCCTGGAACATTCTCTCAAAGCCCCCCTCAGCCTGGCCATCTCCTCTTCCTCCCCCTCAGGCTCGAACATCACCTCCTCGGAACCCAAGACAGGTCCAGTGCCCGCAGCCCCCACTTCTCCTTGGCCCTCTTCTCACCTACAGCTGCTGTATCCCCACGAAAGTCTCCTTCGACCCCACTCCCCAGACAGAGGCCTTGTTCCCGCCGTCTCCCCGGAACCCAGCTCGTGCCTGGCCCAGGTGCGTGCCCGATAAGCAAGTGCTGAGTGGGGAAGGCCACCCCTGGAGGGAAGGCCATCCAGTTTCAGGTGCCCAAATGGCCGCCACGGGCCCAAAAAGGAGGCTGAGGAGGGCAGAGGCTGCCTGGGGCTCCCCGTCGCAAAGGCAGCTTTGGGACAGGGCAGTGGGATTTCTCACAAAGCTGCCTTTAAAGCTCTTCTCAGTTGGCAAATATTTAACCACGGCTCAGAGACCCAGGTCTGCTGGGGAAGAGTGTACGGGAGGGCCTGAGGAGGGAGGCAGGTGGCTGAAGTGGGGCTCAGAGAAATGCCAGAAAGAAAAAAAGGCAGACTGAAGACCCGCCCACCGGGGACTGCCCTTTCCTTTATACCCCGGGCAGCCTGGTGGGAGGAAGTCGATTCCCATCTTGACACAAACAGGGAAACAAAAGCCCTCTCATCTCCTCCGGGGCCCTCCCTCCCTGCCTGGCAGCACCGTACCCACAGCTCACAGTTGGCGGCTTGTTCCGGGAGCCCAGAACCCAAGAACACAGAGCCAAGCTGCGGAGGGTGGAGAAAGGGTGCCAAGGCCCCACCCCCGGCCCCAGCCAGGGCAGGACTGGCCTCTACCCACACCTACCCCGGGCCCACCGCAGGGTCCCCGGCACTGCGCCTACCGTGGGGGGCACCGCTCCCACTCCTGGGGTTCCTCCGGGGGCTGGCGTTCTGCACCAAGCCCTGCCGTGGCCAAGGCCACACCCCACACATCCCAGGCCGAGGAAGCCATGACAAAAGGATCAAAGGGGCAGTCGAAGGCAGCCTGGAGGACCCCCAGAGCTCCAAGATGCTCCAGCAGGACCAGCGGCCTCACACTGTGCACACCCCTGCTTAACGTCCCTGTCCCCCACAGGGAGAGCCCTGGTTTGGGAACCAGACAGGTGCCAACAAAGCCCAGCTCCGTGGTCCTGTGGCCTCGCCTCTGAGCCCGGGTATTCTCCTCTGTGCACTGGGGATAACTGGCTTCTCTCTCAGGCGGCTGTTGTCAACAGGACGGGCAAAGAGGCAGCTGATCTGTGACGGTGATTTTGTAAAACACTAACCTCCATCCTCCTCACCCCCGCCCACCCATCCCTGCTGACTTCTGGGCAACACCCTTCTCCATTCCCTTCTTTTCATCCTCGCCACACCCACTGGAGCCCTCTAACCTGGGGCCTGGACACCTGTCACAACTGCCCCAGGCCAAAGGGCAGCAGCCCTGATTTCCTCAACACATGTCCAAGTCTGGACTGGAGACACGGGGCGCTCTGCCACAGCACCCTCACACTGGCCTGGACCCCACCCGTTTGAGAACCCACCACCGACTTTCCCCTCGGTGCCCAGCCCTTGAGATGCCCAGGCAGACCTTCCTGACTGAGCCCTTCCTCTCTGACCACCTGGTAGCCAGCATCACTGCCCAGCCGCTCCCCATCGGCCACAAGACGCAGGAGCTGAGGACAGGACCCGGCGTGAAATTCAGGCCCTCAGAGCCAACCAAAATGACCGCTGGGGGCAGAGCCAAAGTCCAGTGAGGGTCTTGGGGGCTCCACTGTGCTAGCCAAGAAAGGTTTCATGTTGCCCTCATTCATCAACCACGCGGCAGTGGGCATTCAGGAAGGAACTAGACCAGCCCTTCTATCTAATGAGGGAGAAAGACTATCAACAAAACCGACAATGAGCATGGTAAGCCCCCAGTTGGGAGCAGCACGGGAAGTTACAGGAGCCCAGATGAGAGGCCGATAACCTAGCCGGTGGAGTCAGGGAAGACTTCTGGAAGAAAATGGCACCTGAGACATGAAGAGGTGCTAAGTAGGTAAAGGAGGAGGAGGACTGGGCAGGGAGAGGGTGCCAAGCAGAAGACACAGGAAATGCACAAATTCAGACATTCGAGAAAGCATGAATCCATTCCACAAGTAAATGTAGGAATACCTTCTATGTCAAGAACGGTATCAAGGTTCTGGAATCAGATCTCAATTCAAGTACTAACTCCACCGCTCCTGGGCTGTAGGACCGTGGGCATGGGACTGATACTCTCAGAACCTCAGTTCCCTCAGCTGTAAAATGGGAGGACCAGCAGTACCCATCTGGCCAGGTTGTCATACGAGCCTGACCAGACGGGGTCCTGTGTTATCAATAATGAGGCCTACTGACGGAAAGAAGTTCCATCTGCCTGAGCGTTGATGGCCAGGAAAGGAGTGTTCAGGTGGGCGCTGGGGTCTTTCACAAGCTCAGGGGTCCCGTGGTGTGCCCATCTGTGCAAACAGCAGTGCTCTGCAATGAGTTTCATGCCATGAAATGGGGGCCAGGAACGGGGAAACAGAACAACAGCCACTCAGTCTCTCAGGGGGCCACTCGGAGGGACGGGAAGGTGACATGCTTGGGGTCCCATCTTTCTGGGCCCTCATCCCTCAGGAGTTAACTAATCAGAAAGGGGAAGCAGAGGCAGAAACAGCAACAGATTCTGAAAGCAACTACGCAACAGACCGCACACCGCCAAACCTCAGCCAACCACAGCTCCTCTGCTCCGTGGCACTGCAGGTGGGCAAACTCCTTGTCTGAGCCTCCAGCTCCCACAGGGAGCCCCACAGGATGGACAAAGCTGGGGGAGAAGCTGGTGCCTGGCTGGCTCGGTCAGAAGAGCGTGCGACTCTTGATCTCGGCGTCATGAGTTTGCACCCCACGTTGGGTGTATGATACTTCAAATTAAAGAAAAAAAATTGGAGTCGGGGGGGCACCTGTATGGCTCAGTCTGTTGTGTGCCCGACTCTTGATTTCGGCTCAGATCATGATCCCAGGGTCCTGGGATTGGGCCCGTGTCAGGTTCCATGTTGGGCGTGGAACCTGCTTGAGATTCTCTCTCCCTCTGCCCCTCCAACCCCCTCCCCCCCACCCCCAGTGCACGTGCTCTTTCTCTCTCTCTCTCTCTCTCTCTCTCTCTCGCAAAATAAATAAAAGGAAAGTTAGAAAAACATTTTGTTCAAAGCTAAAGGAAAAGCTAGATGAAAAAGTGCTTTGAAGTCCACAAGGCAAGACCATGTATCTCTCTCCTGGTATCTTGTATCTTTCTCTCTCTCCCTCTCTCTCTCTCTCTTTCCCTATCTTACTGCATTGACTAAGACATCCAGATCAATGATAATGAAAATTACCTCTAGGGTTTCAACATCAAGTTTGCTCAGGCTTGCTCAGTATGTGACCAATGGCATATGAAGGGCCAGGTAGGGGCTGCTAAGGGAGCTGGATAATTCCCTGGGAAGACAACTGCTGGGGAAACCCAGCCACAGACACACCCCAGCCCAACTGGAACCTGTTCTCAAGTGACCCACCAAAGACAGAACTCCAGGGAAGGCTTTCTATCTCAGATGCCCAGTGTGGGACAGGTGACCCTAAGAGGTAAACGGCTCCCTGTCACTGGAGGTGCGCAAGGAGAGGCCGGATGGCCACAAGGAGGCTGGAGAGAAGATTCTGTCCCAGGAGGAAGAAGAGGAGAAAAACACAAACTTTGGGACCAGACAGGCTCTGCTACTGACTGTGACTTCTCAAGCCTCAGTTTCCTTATCAATAAAACAGGGAGAGGGGCACCTGGGTGGCTCAGTCAGTTAAGCACCTGACTCTCGGTTTCGGTTCAGGTCACGATCTCACAGTTCATGACTCTGAGTCCCCTGTTGGACTCTGTACGGACGGTGTAGAGCCTGCTTGGAATTCTTTCTCCCTCTCTCTCTGCCCCTCCCTTGCACGCGCACATGTGCATTTTCTCTCTCTCTCTCTCTCTCTCTCTCTCTCTCTCTCTCTCTCTCAAAATAAATAAATAAACTTTAAAAAAAGAAAAAGAAAATAAAACAGGGAGAAAAATAATACACACCTCGATGAGTAGTTGTGGGAACAAAAGCAGACACTGCATGAGACGTGCCTGGCACTCTGCCTGACTGTTGGTAAGAGCCTGATAAGTGCCAGCTGCTGTTCCAATAAGAACTAATCACTAATAAGTACCAGTCACTGTGGCCCAACCTTACCGGAAAAGGGCTAAATAAACTCAGAGATACAAATCCCACCCACTTCATTAGCCCGGTACCCTCCGATGCCAACCTCCTTTTCACCAAGCCCAAATCAGGCTGCCTCGGACCCCAGAAGGCCCCCTGCCCGCCCATCTCTCTCACACACATGTATACATGCACAAACACCGTGGGCTGCCTCCAGGGTCCTGACCGCAAGTGAGGTGGGGGCAGGGGGAGGGCTCCTGCCTTCTCAAAGCCAGGGAGGGAGAGACAAAAGGAGACGAGGGTGGGGGCGGGGCTGGCTGCGGGGTGGTGGGGAGGAGGAAGATGAGCCAATATGAAAATTTACTCATGTGCTCGCTGCTAGGCTAGAAGGAAACCCAATCCTTGGCTGGAACACCGGGGACCCTCAGCATGAAGAGGCTTTATGCAGAGAGAAGATGGAAAGCTTATTCAAATAACAAGACTCCTGTGGCCTGTCCCTGAGCCAGCAGAGGACGAAGCACCTGCCCCACCCTTGGGTCACCAGCTGCAAGTCTCCTCGGGCTCCAAAGGGGGCCAGAGGGGGAGGTATGAGGACAAATCCCCTCGGAGGCCCTGCCAGCCTCACATTCCTCGTTCCAGGTGCCTGTGTCCCACCCCCTCCGCCCCCGCCCAACACATCTGTGCTTCATGGGAAACTCCACTCTGCAGAGCTAAGTTCTATGCCTGCTTTCCCTGGGGGTCCCTTAAGGGATAGTGGGGACAGGCTCACTGCCTTCCCTGGAGGAGATGAACAGGCTCCAGGCACAGGCTCCAGGCAGCAATTCAGGGTTAAGAGTGGTGGGCCTGGAGGTCAGGCACCTGACTTCCACCTGACCTCGGGCAAGTCCCTCACCCCTCCCGGCTCTCCATCCTGACTGTTCAGTGAAGAGGCTGGACTCCTTTGCACTGGACCCTCAAGACCCTTAGCATCCTCCAACTGTGACTCCAGAAAGTGTTCCCTCCCAACCCAGGACCACACTGGCAGGCCCAGGGGAACGGGCTGTTCAGGCTTGATCAAACTGGTCCCA